GTGCCTCAAGGTACTGTTTTAGGTCCTTATAAATGAAGTAACAATGAAAAAAGACCAAAAAGAGACCTTACAAAAAGATTGGCTACTATTCGTTCCACTTCCTAAAAAAAAGCCAACGCTAGAAAATGTGAAGAACGTAGATTAATTAGTTTGATGAGCCATGTACTCCTTCCTTACTATCATTCACTCGAGCATATACACCAAATTAGAAGAACACCTGAGTGAAGTTCAATTTGAATTTAGAGCAGGACTGGGAACGAGAGAAGCACTTTTTAGTTTGCAAGTTCTAATACAGAGAGCTAGGGATGTCAACTGGCGCTACAGAGATATGTTGAGGGTCTCATATATACACGACAAAAGTAACACACCTATTCTTCAGAGGCTAAGAAAAGACAAAGAAATTATTAACACCATAAAAAACAGAAAATTGGGTTACTTTGGCCACATCATGCGTAGTGATAAATACCGACTTCTACAGTTGATTCTACAGGGCAAGATTGAGGGTAAGAGAGGCCCTGGACATAGCCGTATATTCTGGCTGGCCAATCTTAGAAAATGGACTGGTCTAACGTTATCTGATCTATTTCGAGCTGCTGTGAATAGAATAAGATGGGTCAAGAACAAATATTTTAAAATCAATCTCCTTTTTCGATTTTAATAAAAAATCGTCGTTTTTAAATATTTAAAATTTAATATGCGAAATTCAACGTCCTTCGCCATGTTTAGTTGCATTTGTTTGATTTGATGCGATGTTGGACGAATGATTCTGACGTCTTTTAATCTTTTTTTCAGGATGTTCATCTTTAGGTGAAGTTCTGCACTAATCTTCAGTCATTCAGTCCGTTATCAGTTTTTTTTGTTATATTTTTGCACTAATCTTCAGTCATTCATCGTTCAAAAATAAATAACCAATTTGAAATAAGAACTATCGAGTTTCTAATTTACTTTGTTTTTTATCAACATTATAATAAAATATTATTTTTTGATTCCAGTGACCTGGTGTGTAACGGTATCGCACTGTGGATTGACTGGTACCTCACCGACTCGACGAAGAGTACCATCACGACAGGACCAATTTCTCCTATGATCATCGGAGAAAAAATCGATTGGGATATGCATACTCGACAGGGCGTTACCTTATTCCCGGGAAAACTTGTAACGCAAATAGATTATTCCTTCAGTATAAACTTTAAAGAAGGAAATATTATCTTTAAGTGCAATTAAAACAAACGAAAACGTATTTCATATAATAATATGTTAAAATTAATGACCACCCATGTTTTGGAATTTTTAGTTGGAATCTACTTCCAGTGCAATTCAAATAAAGAAAAATATTTTTTATGAACAAATCTTATTTTTTCTTTTCCCCTTCTTATTCCTCTTCTATTTGAATGCATAGACGGAACTTCATAAAGAATGATTGTTATTAGAATAGAATAGATTTTATTTAGTCAATACATAAAATAGTTTTGTTTTTGGCCAACGTCAAAGGAATAGTAAAAATTTTTACATACATATAAAATTCTTGTGAATTTAAACATTACAAGCAGATATTTTTTTTTATTTACTAATAATAGTCGCTTCAACCACCTGGTCATTAGCGACATTAGTTTAGATTAGATACTACATTATATTAAATTATATAAAGATGTTTCTTTTAGAAATCTAATTAAGTTTTTAGTATTTAAATGTTCACCTAATACTGTTTTTAAGTCACTGGAAATATTGTTATTTTGTCTGTTAACTGTATATTTTCCACATTCTGTTAGGAGATGTTTAACAGTAATATTGACTTAACAGTAATCACACACTGGAATGTCTTCTTTACTTATTAGGTGCTTATGAGTAATATTGGTATGGCCTAATCGAAGTCGAGAAATTTTGACTTGGTCAGCTCTTTTTAAGTTCACTAGGCGCCACGGTTTCACTGTCGATTTAATTTCTTTTAATTTAGATTCCGATAAGTTCCACTTATTTTGCCACGCACTAATCACTTTTCTTTAACGAACTGTTTTATATCACTGCAGATAGTCTTTGACACTATTATAGCTTGATCATTTTTGGTAGCTTCTCTTGCTTGGAGGTCTGCGTTTTCATTACCTTGTATTCCCGTGTGAGATGGAACCCACATAAATTTGACTTCTGAACCAGATTCTTGTAAGGCAGCAAGTTCTTTTTGACAAGTAAGGCTATAGGGTTCTTAGTATATAGTTGACCGATTGTTGTTAAGGAGTTTAGAGAATCTGTGATAATGACGGAAGAAGAATGGTTTGTACTTTTGATATGCATGAGGGCTTGTAATATTGCATATAATTCTGCTGTGTATATAGAAGTGGCTGGCATTAATTTAAATTGGGAAGAGGAATATGGAGTGACAGATGCTGCTCCTACGTCATTTGCAGATTTGGAGGCATCTGTATAAATGCAAAAGCTTTTCCCGTAAGTCTCGAGTTCCTTTAAACATGACTGTCGGATTACAGTGGGTGATGTATCTGATTTGTTATATTGGAGTAGCGTCGTATTGATTTCGGGAATCATGATTAACCAGGGAGGTGGAGTTTTTACATTTTAAAAGAAAGAGGTCAGAAATTTGGAGTTGTAGATCTTTTAAATTTCTTCGAACTCTTTCGTAGAATGGTGGATCGAACCTATTTTTGTTATAAGCTTCTAGGTAACGGTCCGTAAATGCATTTTGAAATACTGGGTGCAATTTGTTGCTGGCGACTGATGTTGCATACGAAAGGCATAAATAATTTCTTCGTAGATTAAGAGGTGGCTTTCCTGTGAGGCATTGGAGATTCTTAACTGGTGTGGTTCTAAATGCACCTATGGCAATCCGAAGTGCTGTGTTCTGAATGACTTCAAGTTGCTTGGTAACATGTTTTTTAGCGGAGGCATACACAATAGCCCCATAATCTATTTTTGATCTAACGAGTGACTTATAAATATTTAATAACGTGGTTTCGTCGGATCCCCATTTTTTATTTGATAATGTTTTCATTACATTTAATCCATTTTGGCAAGACTGTTTTATTTCTAAAATATGTTGTTTCCATGTTAGTTTTTGGTCAAATACCATTCCGAGAAAATTAATTTTTTCTGCGAATTTAAGCGGCTCGCCATACAGTTTTAAAGATGTTCTCTGTGGCCTGTGCCTTCTTGAGAAAAGCATGCATTTTGTTTTTAGTGGGGAGAATTGCACGCCTACTGACGTTGACCATATCTATAATTTATAAATAGATTCTTTTAAGTGTTTTTGAATCATTCTCATATTCTTGCCCTTTGCAAATAGAACCAGATCGTCGGCATATAGTCTTCCTTAACTAGCGGGGAGCAGTGATCCAGTATATCGTTAATAGCCACGAGAAAAAGAGTTGGGCTCATAACTGACCCCTGAGGTGTTCCGTTTTTCTGAATTTTTTTTGATGAAGTGGAATTATCGGCGCGAACAGAGAAAGCTCTTGACTGAAGAAAGTTTTCTTTGAA